CACACACATAAAATTGGAAATTAGTAAGCTATTTGCCATGCTGTTATCCTAATAATATTTGCACCACACAATAATTTAGTAAAAAGTTACATTTAAGTATATCTACAAGTAGTTGAATATTAACAACTATATCAATTATAAGAAAATTACTAATATTAAAATACTTCAAAGTGCACAACAAGACATTTAAAAGTACCCAAATTATGTATCCCAAATAATTTTTTTTTTTAATAAAAATATTCAGAATATGTTGAATCACATTCTTATAATGAAAATATTAGAATAATTTATATTACTAATAATATAATAAAATTCCTATTTATTATATTGTCGTGATTCATTAAAATTATTAAATCGTTATAAATAAATTATAATTTGTAAAATTTTTATAAAATATACTAATATTGTTTATTTCATAAATTCAATCATTTTTATAATCTACAAAATCTACAAGATAGAATGTGAAACAACAATGCATAATACACTTCAGAAATTTTTATAAATCAATGTTATAATGCATAAAGCTATTTTTTGAATAGTGCTAATGTAAGTTTTAGAATCGTGCTTCTAATGCATTTTCATATATTTTTAAGCAATGAAATATGAAATAAAAAGAAAACCAACCTTCTGTATTTTTAATTGTAATTCAGTCATATAAGGTTTGAAATCTTTTGCAACTTCATGTCCTTGATGATAAAAAGTTAACCAACCAAACATAAAACCTAATAACTGGAAAAAAAACAATAATATATAAAAAATACAATAATATTATATTATAATTTATAATCTTTAACTATTTTATATTTATATACTTTAGAATAATTTAATAAAATATATATAAAAAAGATTAAACTTACAGTTTCAACAAATTCAAATTTTTTACGTTCTTGTACTTCTTGAAGCAAAAATACATATTCTAAACTAGCTTGACAAAAATGTCTTTCAGCCATTTCCAATGTTGCATCGGCCTAAAAATAATATATGCTATTATATTATAAAATCAAATATTATAAATGTTTTATATTTATGATATATTTATAAAGAATCACCTCTTGAAGAACATTGTCTTGTTTTTTTGTAGACAAATTTAAGTAACGTTCTTGACTTTGACAAAATTTAATTGTTTGCTTTTTCAAACTTTTTTTTTTCCGTCCTGTTAATATATTATTTTTTGAATATAAGATTATATTATATACATTTAATACATAACTTTTGAATATATATAATCATATAATTTTATATAATTTAACTAAATATAATTTAATAATAAAAATTACCTTAACACCTCCAATATGTTCTTTTCTAAAATTTTCCAAAGGAAGTATAATTTGATCATAAGCACGTTCAAGCTAAAAATAAAAAATATTAAATTAAAATTTTTTTTGTAAGAATTTTATAAAATTTTTATGAAAATATAAATTTAAATTCATTGAATTAATATTTATGTTAAAATAATAATACAAAATATATTAAATATTTGTACATACATTATTTCTACATTTATGTATTAAAAAACATATCTGTTTATAACATAATTTATACATGAATTATTAATACATATTATTTTAATAAGCTTATGACTATTTTACCACTAAGTAATAATATTGTACTTTAATATTCAAGATATAGTAGATTTAATTCAATTTTGATTTACTCTAAATATCATAAAATCTTGCTTGATATCAATACTATAAGATTATTTATATAAACTATAAGATTAAATACAAAATTATTAAATTATAAAAAGAATTACTAAAATACATTCTTTATTTAGAAATGGATGTATATGTATATGTTCACATAAATCAACATTGACATTGCTATAATAAAACAAGCATAACAACATTCTGTTATTTTGCTATTTAGAAAAGAAATCTATTTTGTGCATGATAAATGTTTAAATATATAACTTACCTAATGTACTATATTAAAAATATAATTTATTTTTGATATATTAATAGTGTTAAAATAGCTAAATCTTTATATATATATATATTAAATATATTTAAAATGTTTAATATTTTCTATATATAACAATTGCATGCAATAATATATGAAGTTTTTATTTGCTTTTTAATATGATATTAATATAAATGTTAAAAGCTTTCTTGTAAAAAATAAAAACTATTATATGCATTCAGAAATATTCCAAAGTATATACATTATATAATATAATATTAAACAATAATTTGCTTTTAAATAATATTTAACTCACTTAAGAAATAAAATTTAATATGCAAAATATAACTTAAATATAAATATATAGAAAGTATTTTGATTGAAAATATGACTCAAAAGATATACCATTAAATAACCAGGATGTGCTCCTTCTATAAAAACAGAGTTTTTTATAATGACACTTATTATATTTTTATAAACAAATAAATAATAGATAACAATATTTACATAAAACATATAATAAATAAAAAACATATTTACTATTTAAAATATTTTACTATTAATTTAATAAAAAATGATATAATATGATTATAATATGATTCATCATATTATAATTTCTATAATTTAACATGTATTTTTATACATTTCTACATAAAAATCTTGATTTCTTATATTAAACATAAAAATTAATTTTTATTTTCAAATATTATAGAACTAAATTATAATAATAAAATAATATATGAAAAATTAAAAATATATTTTAAAATATATAAATATATTATATGTTAATATAAATTATTTTTATCCAAAAATATTTTCTAATAAATATAAAACATATATTATAAATTATATATTAAAAACATTGCATACCATGCGATCCCTTTCATCTTCTATTGATGCAATAAGTTTACCAAACTCTTTAAGGCTTTGTGATATGTGAGTTTCATCTTCAGTTTGAGTTTCTCCTATACATTCAAAACTAAAATTTTGCAATGTTTTTGAAAATGCTCTTTGAGCTCTGGACAAATCTAAACAAATATCATTATTTATAGTTATTATATATGATGAAAATATACTTATTATTATATTGAAATATAATATGATCTATGAAATAATATATAAAAGAAATAAAATTAAAATTTATTACAAATTATAAATATGAAAATAGAAAATTTAAAGATATTTTTTATTAAGTTTAAAAACATTAAATAAATTGAACAATACTATTATATATTGTTAAACATATTTGTTAGAAAACAAAAATATAATAAATATAACAAATTCATAAACAACCTATACTTTTAAAAAATTACAAAATTATTTAATATTACATATATTGTATAATATTACTTTTAAACGAAATATATTATTAGAAAATATGAAAGTAAAATTGAGTAAGGTAGGAGCAGCTGTTACATGTCTATAAAATATTATCATGATGAAAACTTACTTTTGGCAGCTGTTAAAAGATCTTTGACCTCTTTAATAAGTCGTTTAATTTGTTGGCTAGTTTTCTCCAATTCACGCTCATGATAATGAAGATTTTCTCGAAAATAAGGGCTATCGGTTAAGCAATCCGTGAATTCTAATGGTTTGAGGCCAACACCCATTATTCTTGATTGATATATTAAAATTCAAATGTCATTAATAAATTAATGCAGCAGAAATGACAAATTCACACTTAAAATAAGTATTAATATATATGATCATTTAATAAAGACACAGTTTTATCACAGTACAAGTATTAAAACGTTTTGTAGCGTAAATAATTTTTGATATAAAGTAAAATCAATTCGCAATATTCTTTCATTTATTGATAGTCATGAACGATATATTTTCTGAATCTTCATTAAGATAAATAGAAATCACTAGTAAGATTATGTAGATAGGAGTTTTACAATGTCGATTAAGAATCATAACCCTCTTGAGTCAAATGCACTAACTACATTTTAAATGGCGGGTTATTCAAGTAAAATACATGTGAAATAATCATATATAATTTATAACATGTAATATAAAATTATATTATGAGTACACAATAATTATTTAATATAAAAAAATATATATTATTATATATGTATAATTCTTGTATATAGAAATTAATATCTATTAAAATATAATTGTTTATTATATATTATTATAATTAATCAAATAAAACAAAAAATGATTTATACACGCATATATGCATATTTACATATTAATATATATTTGAATAATTAATATAAATGATAATACATTATACATATGTATATGATTTAAAAAAAAAAATAATATATATATATATATATAATATACATATTATATGATTATATATAATATATAATTATATTTAAAAAAAAAATAATTATTTTATTTCAATTATAAAAAAATATTATATTTATTAAAGTAATTAATATAATATAAAATATATTTATAATTATGTTATTATTAAATAAAACTAAGTAATATAATAATGAAAATTATATGCATTATATGCACATAGTTCATTAAGATAATAATTAAATGTATATTGCTATTAAAAAATAAAAGTTTTAATATTTTTCAATACAATTTATAATAATTTTAATGAAATTTTCATAAAAATAATAATAAAACATGAAATAATTTTTTAATTTTTTTCTAGTTTTTTATTACTATTAAAACTTACCTAAATAATGTAAATAGTTGTAAAAACTCCAAAGCAAAATTTGCTTTTTTAAACTAGCTTGAATTCCATACATTTCTCACTTAATACTGAAAGATTTTTCATTAGCATAAAATTACATATTACTAAATTACGTTGCTTGTATACATACAAGTATCGATCTTCGATACAAAATATCTGTAACTTGAACTTAGGTCCAGATTATTATAATTTTGAACATGAACAATTTATTTAAAGAATGGAATCTCAGTGGTAGTAATAAAATCTTTATGTTGTGCCATAAAGAAAAATATCCAAATTAAATAAATATAAATTTTTCATAAAAAATAATCTAAGAATAATGTAATATTTTTATAAAAAAGATTTTATTTCCATTAAATTCATATTAATATGTATAATTATTCATACATCATTTTTATAAGTAAATTTTCTGAAAAGTTGGTTAGACTTCTTAATGCTGTTTCTCTTTTACATTAATAACTTTTCTCATATATCTATCTTCTTTTTAAGTGAGATCCATGTTGAACATGAAATACTAATTTCGTCTGTAGTTATTCCGATACTAGTTGAGCTTACGAAGTATAAATTGAATAACTTGCTAGGAAGAAATGTGGTCAATTTTCCAGTCTATGATTGTGTGGTGTTTGTATAATAGGTTACATTGTGTCCAAAAATGACGTTTATAATTTGTAAATATTATTTATTTGACATTAAATAATTTTTGTTAATTATTAAGATTTATTGAGAAGTATTTTCACTACCTGTAAACTTGTGTATTATTTATCAATTGGTGTGAGGTTATGATAAGAAAATTAACTTGAGTCATCTCCTATATCCAATGTTTACTATTAGATCACTTTTTAGGTCCATTGAAGGTAAATAACTCATTGTTTATATTTTACTTAAAATATTTAAGTGTGATTGATATTAATTCATAAACATTTACATAACCTCTCATGTAGCGTGCTTGTTTTGACATTCGGAGGATTCACGCTGTGATTAAAACATATCGTGCATTTATTTTTAACTTATACTTAATCTTTTGTTTCGGTAATTTTAATTTATTTTATTTTTCATTTTTTGATACTTTAATTATATCAACTTATTATTATATTTGAAATATTTATTATAATAGTTATTATAATATTAAGATGAGATAAGAAACATACTAGTCTCATCAATAGACAATTTTATATAAAAATATATTTGTAAAATATTTTGTTTTTTCTATATTTGCGAAAGATTATTATCATTATATATCAAATATTTACTCAAAGCTATTTTCAAAATTATTGAAATATTTTTATATGGATATATAAATAATATTTTTATATGGATATCATATATACATATATATATATATATATATATATATTGAATAATACTATAAATATAATTTTATATAATATAATATAAATGATATAATTTTGAATTTATTTTAATTAAAATTAATATTAAATTATATTAATGCTTTTTTTCATATAAAAGTAATGCTTTTTAATATAAAAGTAATTTAACTTGATTATAAAAATTTATATATTTCTAATGAATTCATATATTTTATAACAAACAATGATAAGAATTTATAATAAAGAAATATTAATGATATTATTATGATTATATTAAATAAATTTAAAATAATATATTAAAAAATTACATTTATGTGTTTATTATTTTAAAAAAAATTTTAATATATAGCAAATAATTTATTTATAATAATACATTTAAATATTATACTAAATATATTTTATTTAATAGAATTTCATTTAAAAGAATAATTTATTAAAATATAATTTATTCTAGATTTATGTGTTAAAAATTATTTTTATAAAAAATAAAATAATTTGATAAATATAAAAGTTTTAAACTTACATATTTATATATATATATATATATATAAAATCATTATATATTTGATAATCAAAATATGAAGAATTTATATTTTAAATTAGATCTAATTAGTTTAAAAAATTTTTCAATTTGAATTAATTTGAGTTTTATAATATATCAATGATTTTAATATTTTATAAAATTATTTCAGATTGTGAAAATTTATTATTATATCAGATATGACATTAAATGGTATTAGCAATCAAAAACTAAAATGATTGGCACAGCCTCTAGTTTAGAAGATGCGTGTCGGCAGGCTCAGGTATTATTTAATATTTATGTAATTATTAATTAATTTATATAATATAATTTTTTAATTAATTCATATCACTTTGCTTGTATTTATATTTCTTATATAGGATATGATAAATCAAGTATCTAAATGTTGGAAAAATATTCAAGGACAAAATTCTGTAAATTTAATTTGTGATAAATCATCAATTCAAAAAAAAGATCAAAGTCATTCAAAACATAGTATTCAGTCTAAATTGACTAGATTATATTTTGAAGAACTTACTAAAGTTCCTTATGCAACTCCTGATTCTGTATTGGTATATATATATTTTATTAAATTATTATTTAATTAATATTTTCAATATTCTTTTGTTATATAATCAAAAGATTTAATATACTAAATTATTTAATTATTCAATTATTCAATCATTCAATATACTAAAAATTCAGTAATGCTTTTATTTAATAGAATAATTTAGAGAACGAATGTGATCTTTTGGGAAGATTGGTACAGAGAGAAGGTTTACATACATTAATTGTTAATCTCTATGCTGGTAATAAAGGATACTCATTAGCTATAAGAAATAGGTAAGTATATTATTATTATTATTATATAATTAAAATTATATATAATAATTTTTTATAATCTATTGGAAAAGAAGATTCATAATGATGAATTAATTAAATAATTTTAATTTAACAGTGATAAGGGAAATCAATATGATAAAAATTCAATATTAGCTGAAACACAACTGATGGGTTATGAACAGGGTGAATTGCTTTCATGTATAGATAATGGTCAATTGCCTGCAATGTTGGCAGAGCAACTGGAAACCAATCATTCTCATTTATTTTATGATGGCTGTATAATAGCTGAAGTTCGAGATTATCGAAAAACATTTCCTCATACTAAAGCTGAGGTTCATCATGTGCTTCTTAAGCCTACAACACAAGTAAGAAATAAAACGAATATATTAAAATTTTATAATAAAAATTATTATTTTTCAAACTGTGATCTGCAGATTTCTGAAGATGTTTTTTTTTTAAATAACAAAATATTTTATAATATTTTTTTCATTATTTGAAATATTTATTAAAAATTCTTTATTATCAATTATCAATAAGAAGAAAAAAATTTAAAAAATGTTGAAAACAGTTTTCTTTATTTTTGTGTTATTTTAATAAATGAAAATTTTTTTACATATAAATGTATAATTTTTTTATGTATATTATATCTATTTTGAGATTTATTTATTTTTTCCTTTCTATTTATTTAATCCATGAATAAAAATAAACAAAGATGCAGTTTGGGGAATATTAATATAAAAATATTTCCTAATTTTAAATTAAAATAAAAAATAAAATAAATTAAAATAATGTTTTAATATTTTTTAGAGTGTACTCTCAGATGTATCAACCTTGACTAGTGATGGTGACTGGAGTCATGAAGAACGATTAATGTTAGAATCACATTTAGTTGCAGCTACCCAAGGACCTCTTTGTCTTGATCCAAATCCTATTCCTAGTTTAGCTACAACACGATTAAAACAATCTAAATCTTTGCTTACTGATCATCAACTTATGCGACAAGCAAAAAAGTTTTCACAGGTAATCAATTTTGATAGATTAGATTTATAGATAGAATTTAAATTTTTATTTAATTTTATTCATATATTTTTTTCAAATAAATTTAATCATATTTAATTTGAAATATATATTATGTTATTTTATTATAGGTTACAGTTAATCGCAAAAGAAAATTGGAACAATTAGCACAACCAGAAGGATTGACAATACAAGATTTAATGCAGAAATTAAGAGCAAAAAGGGGAATAGTTACAGCCACTGCCTGTCCAACGCCTTCTCTTACAAATCCTCCTTTACTTCCACCAAATACACCCATTGATGTTTTAAGGTATATTTCAATTATTAATTTTTAATTATATATTTAATTATATATAATACTATATGTCAAAATAAATTTATATTTAATATATGGTAGATTTGCAAAAGCATACGAACGCCCGCGAGAAACAAAAGACTGTTTACCACACGTTATAGAAGAATATATATTAGAAACTGGAGGAAATCAAGGTGAAATAGATCACATAAAGCTCTCAATTCTCCAAAGACCTTCTAATTCTGAGTACCTGGGAGAGCTTTATATGGATAAGAATCATCGTGAAGGAGAAAAAAATGGATCTGCATGCCGGTGAGAACTTTTTTATGTTCAATAATCATTTTGTTTTTGCTATATCAAATTTTGAATTTTTTAAGTTATAAAAATTGACTTGAAAAATAAATGTTGAAAATTTTTGTTTAGGTTTACACTAGGTACAAGAGTGTTAGCAAATCATTATATCCAACAATTTACTGAAATATTTACGGAAGAAGGTAGAAAAAATGTTAGAATAAAACATGTTGTACCAGGGCAGGTCCCTCGTGTAACATGTACACCTGGTATGCAACGAGCGCATCAACAGGTTTGCAATTATTTTAAGTAGTAAATCGGATTAAAATTTATTAAACTTAATATATTAATATATTAATTATTATTATATATTAACATTTCTTTCACACATTTTTATATTAAAATTTTAAATATTATGTTTTAGGCACAGCAGGCAAAAGCAGCGCAATTAGTTGCTCAGCACTTACAACAAGCTCAATCTCAACATGTAGCACAGCAGGTAAATTAAATATATATAAGTAATTATCAAATATCTTTAATGATCATGATGAATTTTAATAAAATTCTAAAATAAACTAATATTTAATAATTATTTTAGATTTTATCAAGAGCTCAAGGTCAGTTAAATACTTTAGCTGGACAAGTAGCTTCAATGAAAACTATGGCAGAAACTACTACTTCTGCACAAAATAATTTGACTTGCGTAGATGCAACAAATATTTCACAAGTTATTGCCCAAAATGAGGCTACATCGATAAGTCCAGGGCAAACTTTAACTAATGGTGGATCAAATGCCTCTACATCTGTACAAATTGATAATTCTACAATGTCAGTTACTGATGGTAGTTCCTGTAATGGATCTGGAATTTTAGTTTTTCAACAAAAATCAAACAATACTATTAATAATGCTACATCTACAAATGTTCCAGTTTTGGTATTATTATAATTGGAATTATACATGAATTATATGATATTCTATTTTATTATAATATCTGAACAATTTTATATAATTTTACGTATTATTTTATTTGTAGCAAGCTCAGTTACAGGCTGGAACACAAAATTGTGTGACAGAAACTGTTAATCAGAACCAAAATGAAATACCATTTAAAAAACATTCTACCAATCCAGCAATAACAGCTCTTGTAACATCTCTTATGAATTCTGCTCAACAATTTCAACAGCAAGCTGCAGGTTTGTTACAATATTAATATAAATTATATTGGAAAAATAAAAAAAAAGTATTAAAAAATTAAAAAACACTTTATTAAAAATTCTTGCAGCAAACGCAGCTGCTGCTGCTATGAATACTAATGCACAGACTACAAATAAGTCAAATAATGCTGCAATCCTTAGTTTGTTAAATAGTAGTCCTGCCAATTTGACGCAACAGAAAGTCCAGCCTCGAAGGATTTCTTTGAATGCTTCCATCCCATCTAGAGTTCTTAGTCATGGAAATGTTATTAATGTCCCTAGCACGACTGGTCAAGTAAGTTAAATAATTATTCTTATTCTTAAATATATTTTTGCGAAATTCTAACAAATATTTTTTTTTAGGTAAGGGTGAGTTTAAGTTCAACTTTAACAGGACAATTAAGTTGTAAACAGCAACCCGTAAAAGCAACAGCTGTAAAATTAGCTCGTGTGCAAGATCCTACTTCAACATTAGGATTATCAATGTCAGGACTTTCAGCCCTTTTAGCAGGTAAATATCATCATTATAGAATATAAAATTAGTAATTTATTCCTTATTTTTGTAATTAGTAATTTTTCTTTTATTTTAAGATATAATATGAAATTATATATTCACATTATTAAAATATATTTCTTTATATTAATAGGAACGCCATCTGCAGATAATCCAATACCAGGAATTAATTCAGGTTCTTCTCTACTTGAACGATTAACTGCTTCTTCCAGTCAAAATAATCAATCTGCGACACCAATGACTACGCCACCATCTACCAATGTAAATCTACAGGGAGTAAATCTTACTAGTCTGTCAAATTCCATCAATGGTCTTCAAAATGTTCAGGTTGTGGAGAGCAGTTTATTTCTACATATGGCCTAGAAGATGAAATACTACTGTACTATTCGTTGTACGACAGGTATCATTTCCCGGATTATCACAACCCATTACGATGTCGCTAAATGTGTCAGCGACGACGGGTTCCGTTACACCTACAGGAGTAATAGTTTCTCTGCCTATATCATCTGCGACTAATACTTGCACTACGGTTTCTAGTGTTAGTTTTTTATATTTCATACATTTTAATTAATATTATACAAAATATATAAAAATTATTCTACAATATTGATTTATGTTTTTAGATGGTAGCTACTACAGTTGTTACAACAGCTATTGCTGGAAGTACACCAACGGTAGTAATAGCTAATCCTGCCAATACTCATTTATCATTACCAATTGGTAAGAATTTTTTTTTTGATATATTGAATTCATATGTGATAATATCATTTTCATATAGATTATTTTATTTAATATTTGATTTAAAAAGTTAACTAAATGTTATATCCTTATATAAGGTTAATAATATCAAATAATATATATTTTCTTGTAACATAAATGTTGTAGCCCAAATAATACCTTCTGCTGTGAAAGGATTATCACAACAAAACATACGTAGTAATAATTCTGTCACTCTTGCACAGGTATATATTAATTTTATTATATTTATAATTTATAGAATATATAATCATAAAATGAAAAAAACATGTTTTTTAGGTGGACAAGCAATTCAACTTGTTGGATCTCAAAGGCCACGACTTAATCATATAACTCGCCAAGTGCAACCAAATCAAGTTAAATCAACTGTTTTATCAAATCAATTAGTAACTGTGGCTAAAACAGTAACAGCCAGTCAATTAATATTATCTGGTAATAAACAGGTGTTAACTCCTATAATGGGTAAGTAACTATATATTATGTTATATATATATATATATATATATATATATATATATATAT